AAAAAAAAAAAAAAAAAAAAAAAAAAAAGAAAACAGGATTATCATATGTCTGTTATTTCAGGGACACATTTTTAATGTAAGTGCTCTGGAATTTCTGGAATGGACTCTTGGTTAGTCCTGTCTTACTCTACAGAATAGCTGTGTCTGATATGAAATACACTTCTGGTAGAATGTTAACACAGATTCTTTGTTTAGACTATTGGATGAGTTCTATTTGTTAGTTACTAAAAAAACCTTTTCAAATTACTGTTCTAGGTGGAACAGAATCCATTACTGGGTTTTGGTGCTATAGCTATTGCTGTATTGTGCTCAGGATTTGCAGGTATGTTATGAAAAACATCATTTTTCCTTTTGTCACACTTTAAAAACATACTGTAAAAATGGTTCTAGTTTAATCTTGCTCTGGCATACCAGTCTGATTCCTAGTAATTCTTTTATCTTCATATGTTCGTTGTTCTTCGTCACCTGTATCTCCTGTTCTTATTTTTTGTCACCTGTCTCCACTGTATGGCCTTGTTTCACTCAGTTCAGACCCCAGTCCTTACTCAAACTTGCAGTTATCCGAGAATGTACATCGGTCATCCTTGACCATCTCAGTCTAGCCAGCAGCCCAAAGTAAATGAAGGGGGCGGGGGGACTCTGAAAGTGGAGGAAACTAGCCTTTAGAAAGCTCAGCTAGCTTTCTATTTTTCTAGAACTGGTGATAGTCAGACCAGCTCCTGCTGGTGTAAGTTGTTAATACTACAGCTCAAAACCTCAAGTTCTCTACTTCAGCAGAGTATGGGATAGAAAGAGAAGGTGGATGGAGTGTTCCTTAGAAAACAGTACAAAATAGCCAAAAGGGAGAGAAAGAACATAAAATCACATGTCAAGAAAACGGGAAGGGCTACGGATATAGTTCCATGGCACAAGCACCTGCCTGGCAAGTACAAGGTCCTGAGTTCGATCCCCAGTACTGAAAAAAAAAAAAAAAAGAAAACAGGGAAGTCTGAGGTGGTATGTGTAGGGACAACTGCTTCTCCAGCAAATCAAGAGAAAGTATGAATGCTAAGTGCAATATAAGGAATGAAAGATGTTTTTGAAATAGTTCCAACAGAGATGAAATTTAAAGCTCTTTTTAAGAAAGAATGTATTAGTAATAGCTATATGCCTTTATCCTTATTTGTACCTATTTTAAGTATTAGGGTTTTTAATTTTTGATGAGGAAATAAACTATTGGTTATAAATAAGATGCTTCATAAGAGAACTTCTAAATTTAGGAATATACTTAATTAGCCATAGTATTATTCTAAATCTTTAAGATCCAACAGACTTAGGAATAAAAATTGAGTCATCCAAGAAGTAATATACTTTTGATTTCTAGCAGTACTTTTGAACAGTTATGTCCAATCTTGTATTTAGATCATAACTGAGGAAATAAATGCAGGATTGTTTATGCTTGGAGCAACTGAACACTGAATAAATAGTTTTCCCAGACCTACGATCAAAGGTAGAAACAAGAACTGTGATTTTGTTTTTATTCTCTGGCTCTTTCCAGCATAAATTCATCAAAAGTACTGTTTTTCATTAGATTTCTACATTGATAAACACTTTAGTACCATTTAGGTCTCTAACATGTTTATACCTAACATTGTTAATGTCTTTTAAAATATGCATTCATTCAAGTATAAGGCTGTTAGACGAGGGGTGTATGACTTTTGAGGGTGGAGGAGTCATGTACTCTTTCAGAATGTGAAAAATATCTATGGGCCCTCAACCCCAGAAAGCACAGATACATGCACATTTTATTACCTAGTTAGGAGCTGATGATCCTCTGACATTGTGTATAAACCTGCTTTAAAGGAAAGTGACTTCATTCTGCAAGTTCTAGTTAATTTTATTTTGGTTGTGTCATTGTGAAAAAAACTAAGTGGTGATTATGTTATTCTCCAAAGTCAGGTGTATTCATTTTTAGGCAGATATTAAAGGAGTATGATTAAGGTAATTCCATCTAATACAGTCTTCCAGCTAACTAAAGCATGTCTTTTATTGGTGTTAAGTAGTGTAGAGCACTTTTATGATGTCTTCCTGCTACAATAAAGGCAGAAATGTTCCCAATTTAACAGCACTTGTCAAAGGTAGTTTATAAAATTCCTCTGTTATTGTCTGTATGATCTATAAAAATGCAGATTATATTGTTCAGTATATGTGTCATAACGTACATAATAAATGTATGTTTAAAGTATGTTTGTTCCCAAGTCATACTTTTGTATCTTTAGGGTACAGTCTAAATGAAGAATGTTTGAAGTTAATTCATAACATCTTTAATATTTTTATCTTTTAGGAGTGTATTTTGAAAAAGTCCTAAAAAGTTCAGACACTTCCCTTTGGGTGAGAAACATTCAGATGTATCTATCAGGGATCATTGTGACATTAGTTGGTGCCTACTTGTCAGATGGGGCTGAAATTAAAGAGAAAGGATTTTTCTACGGTTACACCTATTATGTCTGGTTTGTCATATGTAAGTATCCAGGTATTAACGGCTCCGAGTAGACCCTTTTTGTTTTTCTGAAGTTAGATGTTTACTGTAAGCTTTGTAGCATTTTGCAATTATTCCTTTGATACTGTGAATACCAGTTTGAAAATTCACTTCTGGTTTTATTAACCTACTTTTGTGGCAGAGCTATCCCCAAGCACTTTTGCCTTCACAATCAAAAGCATCTAATGTGTTAGCAATAAATGTGTAAAATTTAGTGGAAGACCACATAGCCTTTTGTGCATCTGAGCAACAGTGTTATGTAGGAGCTACTGAATTTTAGTACAAACTCTCAGATGACTACTTCTAGGAAAATAGTATGTTCCCTTAGTGTGCTGTCTCTGGAGATGAAAATGACTGAACTGTCATGGAATGTTTAATTTGTTTGAGTCTTAAGATCTTATTTTTTTGTATCCCAAGTTCTCGCAAGTGTGGGAGGCCTCTATACTTCCATTGTGGTCAAGTACACAGACAACATCATGAAAGGTTTCTCTGCAGCAGCAGCCATTGTCCTTTCTACCATTGCTTCCGTGATACTGTTCGGATTACAGATAAGTACGTCTCCATCTGTGTTAAGTTTACATGGAAGGGCCCCTTCCATGATTCCTTTCATCTCTTATTAAACGTGGCAGTTTGACTCAGGCGTGGTGGTGCACACTTCCAATTCTAGCACTCAGGAGGCAGGAGGATTCCCACAAGTTCGAGGCCAGCCTGAACTACATAGAGAGACCCTTTCTCAAAAAACTGGCAGTTGGCCATACTGTTTATAGGAATTTCTAGTTTAGTTACTAGTTTATTCTGTAAGTACAGCAGCTCAGCTGTGTGAAGTGTGCATTAGCAGTACTTAGGCTGTGTAAGTGGTTCTGTAGCTGAAACTGAAGGGTGTGCATCCTACGTGAAAGCGAGGCGCTGCTCAGTTACTGGAGGGCTTTGCAGCATCTTCCTGTTTTAGAAACAGTGAGTCAGGGTGAAGTTGGCCCTGTGTCTGTAGGTTCTGCATCTATGGATTCAACCAGCAGATACTAACAAATACTTGGGGAAAAATTATTTCTACACTGCCTATGTACTTCCTTCTTGTCATTATTTCCTGAACTATGTAACGATAACTTACACAGCATACACATTGTATGAGGTATGGTAAGTCATTATGAGTGATTTAAAGTGTATGGGGGATGCAGGTTAGATTACATGACATCTGAGTGTCCACAGATTTGGTATCTGAGGCGGGTGCTGGACCAGTCCCCCTTAGATGCTCAGGGATAGCTACAATATGATTGGGTACTCAAGGGAACAGATAGGAGGACTTTAAGAAATGATTACTTTCAGCAATGGAATTAAACTGTGTAGGCTTACTTTGAGGAGAGCAGAAAACATGTTTTATCTTTTTTTGGTTTTTTTTTGAGACAGGGTCTCGCTAAGCTGGCCTTGAACCCCCCTGTGTAGCTCAGCCTGGTCTTCAATTCACGGTGATCCTCCTGCTTCAGCCTCCCAAGTGCTGGGATTATAGGCATGCACCACCTTGACTGGCCGGCATGTTTTATCTTTTCCTTTAGCTTGTATCTTCCTGTTTGGTATCTTAGTTTGATATGAATGTTTTATGCAAAGATAGTTTCATTTAATGTGATTAATATAAAATTCATTACCATAGCTGGCAGGCTGGCCCATTGCTAATACAATTACTGTAGCTCTCAGATCTACCATTAAGTTGGCTTCTTACTTAAGCACTGATACTAAGCATTTCAGGGTGCTTTTGTGCTGTGTAATAATAAGTCCTTTTTTTAATCAGTTATTATACATAAACTAATACATGAGAAAAGCTGTCAAAGGTCTAGATAAAATAAAAGCAGAACTGGCCTATATTTGCATTTTGTTTTAGAGTTGATTACTCTTAAATGCAAATAGAAGAATACCAATGTTGAAGAAAACCTAGAAGAACCATTGTGTAGTAAGGTACACATCTTGTCTGTGTAGCCTTGGGAAAGTTAATATAACCTGTGTCTCACTTTCCGTCATCTGTACAATGACAGTATTGGCACCCATCTCCTAGGGTTGCTTTTAAAAAGGTGATCTACTTGAAAAAGTGTCTAGCACATAGGAAGTAAGCTCTGTAAGGCCAGCCATTTATCATTGCAGTGCTAGATATCTCAGGGCCATCCTTGAATGTTCTTACCTGCTTACGGTAAAATTTTCATTTTAATTGTATTTCTAATTCATTCATCCTTATATTTAACATTAGTCCTTATGTCTTTTTCTCCTGAGAAAAATTTGCTTTTGGTTAATGTTTGTCTTGGCAAAGTCTGTTAACTAGTTAGATGTATGATATAAACTCCTTCCCTTTTGGAAGGCAAAGGTAGTCTTTTTTAGTAATTAAGAATGAGGTTTGAATGTGCTAGGGATGTAGCTCAGTGGCAAGTGCCTTCCTGGCAAGTGTGAGGCCCTGAGTTTGATTCCCAGTACCCTCCCCCCAAAAAGATAAAATCATAGCTTTATATCATTTTTTCAACATACTACTTTTAAAAGCAATGAAGACCACAATTGTATCTCACAGAAGACTGCAGTTGTACCTCACAGAATGTTTCAGCTTTTAATAGAATGTACACTTTTATGAGCATTTATATGGCAAGTTTGGAGAAGTTCTAATTCAGTCTTGCATACTGATTTTTCAGGATTAAGATAAAAAGGGTAACTCTAACAGGAAATGTAATTTTATACAGTATATGACCATTTCATCTCCTATTTAGAAGTTTTCACTGATTTGAATAATTTACTACCTAATTCTGAATTTTATTTTTTCCCTAAACTACAGATTTCTGATACCATGAGAAGTGCACGTCCCATTGCCTTTTGTGTTCACATATATTTTATGTTTACATACTTCTTTTAAATTTAAGGATTTATAGGGAAGCTGCTATATTGTCAGAGTGGTCCAAGGTAGGCATAACTGTGTCTTCCAGTTTGCCATGGTGATCAGTGATTACCATCTCTTGATTCTACCATTTTTTCTTTTGCTAGAATGGGTGACCTTTCTAAAATTTACCATCGTAAAAATGGAGAACTTATTTAGCTTTCTCATATAACTGAAAATGTTAACCCAGAGTTAAATTTTATTGAAAATGTAAATTGATGATTGTTGCGGAGTTTTACAGGCACAAATACAGCTTTTTTTTTTTTTCTTAGCACTCACCTTTGCTCTGGGTGCCCTTCTTGTATGTGTTTCCATATATCTCTACGGATTACCCAGACAGGACACTACATCCATCCAGCAAGGAGAAACATCTTCAAAAGAGAGAATCATTGGTGTGTGATTTGAGCCTCAGAAGATTCCTCCTGTGACTAAGCAGCTTGCATTAAACTAGAGCCTTAAGTCAATCTCAGAAGGTAGCTTAAAGAACAAATTAACTGTATGGCCTAAGAATCAAGAAGAAAGCTGTATGAGTGAACTGCTAATATAGAGACAACTGCAGACCTGTTGGGGGTCAAAGTGTATTGTTTCAGAATGAAGGAATTTTATTGTGTGTGTATATAATGTACATAGTGAGTATGGAGATGATGTGGTATTAAAAAATCATGAAGCTACCAAATCAAGTGATAAGGTATGGATTACTGTCTAAAAGTGAAAGTGCCAAAGCCATTTCTGTACTAACTGTTCTGTTGTTCAGGTACCAAGGGAGGACAACCTCTCCTTGTTCTGTAGTTCACTCATGGTATAGTTTTGTCTCTGTAACAGTAGAGACCTACTTCTTACAAAAACAAACAAGACAGGCTAGTTCAGAACCAAACTGAATGTGTAATTTCCATGGAATCTATTTTGTAACTCAGACAGTGATTTCTTGGTGGTGACTAAGTACTCCTTTAGTGCTATATTTGTGCCATTCATTGTCCCCTTCATATTTCTTTGCTATTAGATATACTTGTCTTCAAGAAAATTTCTAAGATGTCACTTTTATACTTTTTTTTTATAAAGTATAGTTGTTGGGTTCTCAATAATTTGTGTTTTAAAAATATTTCTATAATGTTAATGGGGGAAATTCAGCAATAAACTTTATTTATATGAATCCTCTTTAATCACTTTTTTGAATTGCAGATATAACCATTAAGATAATGCAAAAACATGAAAAAAGCTGATTTTTTTTTAAAGGTTGTTTGTAAATAACAGCTTTAACCCGAGTCTGACAAGCCTTAAGCACCTTTCCTAAAAAGGAATTTATAGGAAGGATTACAGTCACAGCTATAGGGCTTTAGATTGTAGAAATGAACGGACTTTTGGGGAGCTGGTTTGATGAAGGCTTGGCTCTAACCATTATTGTTCCTGTATCACCTAAAGATTTGATACTCAGAATACCATTGGTCCTGGAAGGAGAAAGATTCCTAGAAGTGGAGAGGGATACTGTACATGTAAAACATGACTCTTGTAGATTTTTATTCAGTAACTGGTTTGTGCTGAGGGAATTTTAATGCTACTTTAAGCAGAAAATTAGTAGTCTGGAAGCCAGATTACTTAAAATGGAGGCATGAATGAGTCTTTTGCAAGGACTGGGGGGGTAAACTATATTTGTCAATATAAAATGATGTTTATTCAAACTGAAGCAGCTTTGGTTCGTGCTAATTTGATTCTTTCCTTAAAAATACATGTTCACTGATATTCAAAAGACTTTTTTTTCCTTTACGGTGGTGGGTATCAAACCTAAGGCCTTGTTCTGTACTACTGAACCACATCCCTTTCCCCTAGGAATTTCTATTAGGAACATTTATAAGAAATTACAGCAGACCTGAATAGAAATGCTAGCAGAGGTGGATAGCTGTGCTGATACAACATTTCGCATGATACCTCCTACTTACGTTACCTAATCTTAGTTTATGTTATCAAATAAGTCACACAAAATATACCTTATCCACGCAAATACATGGAAGAAATGTTTAACTTCAAATTATGGCTTAGTTACTACATTTTTAAGACCCTAACAATGTCTCTACAAGTAATTCCTTGCAATTAAAATGTATTCAGTCCCTGAGTTCACAGAGTAAGTTACCAGGATATATCAACTAAAAGGTAAGCATAGGCCTTCTCTGGGAGGAGTTACTAACCATATTATTAATAAAGATGTTTATCTTTGGTCTGTATATTTGTTCAAAACTAGCCATGATTTTAAAAAATATTAGGATTTCTCTCAATTATTTGATGAAAACATTAGGTCATCTCAGTTATAATAGCTTCTGAAAATGACACTGTAAGAAACCTCAAACCAGTTTAAATTCTCATCTTGTATCTGCATTATACCATAATTTTTTAATTTAAAAAGACTTAGTTTACAAATGCATAATTAGGTATCTATTGGCCATAAAACTTCTCATGACTTGTAAGCAAAAAGATCAAGCTGGGAATGGTGGTGTGCACTGTACTTTCAGCTATTCCGGAGGCTGAGGCAAAAGGATTTCTTGTGCCCAGGAGTCTGAGGCTGGCCTGGGTAACGCTGGTAACACAGTGAGACTGTCTCAACAAAACAAAAATTAATAAATCATTTACACTTAATAAAATATACTGGTACAAAATGATAGTTTATATTATAATCTGAACAGCAAAGCACCTATAAACATAATTTGCATTTATTTAGCATTGTGATAAACTCTTTAATGAGAAATTACATCCTAGAAACAGGTGTTATTCCAAGAAGTCTCATTCCATTGGCTAGAACATAACGGACAGCCTTGAAAAGATGAAGTCTGGCCTACAAAATAAATCAAAGAATGATGAGTGTTCAGTAACATGCTCGTTTATGTAAGTAAGGATGGTTTTACAATTCTAACTTTCTTTTTAATTTAAAGTATGGATATCTCAAATTGCCTTAGAGTTTACTATAGGCCAGAAATGATACTCATCCCTTTTGATACACAAGTATAGAAGGAGTTGTGGAGTGGGAGAGGAACAGTGTATCACTCTAATACCCGATTCACGAAGATGGGTTCTGCAGTACAGAATTTTTGGAAATACATAAACATGTATGGTTACAGCCCAATTCTAATTATTATCTGAGTCAGAAATTGCTGATCAAGAGCATGCTATTAGAAAAACTTATAAGACATGAGTACTCTGCAGTAGCAGTTGTGAGCTGTTAGAGATTATAGAGAAGACATTCAGCGTAACTTACCCCGGCCACTTCGGGAGGGCTGTCCTTTATTTGGAGTGTTCTGTGTGCCACAGCTGCAAGATGACTGAAACAGCAAGGGAGGAGTCAGGCTGGGGACTGGCAGTAATTTCCCACAGTAACATGAACTGGGCCTCTAACCCTACCTCCTCAATTTCAGAAAAAGCCTAGAACCACTAAAGGAGGTATACTAAACTGTAAAGTTGAGAGTGGAATTCACTGCCTTGTCTGTAACAGACAAAACACACTAAACTTAAACTTTAGATTTTGGTCCTGGTTCTACAACTAAGTGGCAGATTCTTAAAATTATTAATTTTACTGTTAGCTTTACAGGTATAGAGCATTCCTTTTTAACAATTAGTTTGTCTTTTTTAGACAGCATTTAAAAGTTTAACATGAGCTGGGCATGGTAGCACAAGCCTGTAATCCCAGCACTTAGGATGCTGAGGCAGGAGAATCACTGTGAGTCTGAGGTCAACCTTGGACTACAAAGTGAGTTCAAGGCCAGCCTGAACTACAAAGCAAGACCCTGTCTCAAAAAGACAAAAATAAATGAATAAATTAAAGTATAACATGGCCTGGGGAGGAGGTGGGATAGGGACTAGTCATCAGTTCACTCCGTATACACTGGGCATTCTTCTTTAAAGTCCCTTCTTTGCTTAGGTATGGCAGCAAGTAGAACAATGTGAGAGACGAGGAAGACGTTCACTTAGTGATTATGGGACATTTCTTACGACTTTCTGGTGTTTTCACTTCTACAAGTCTAAGTAGAACTTAGGGGAAAAAATCATTTAAATCAAGAGAGAAAAGGTAACAATATAAAACAAGCCAGGCATGGTGGCACATGCCTGTAGTCCCAACACTCGGAGCTTGAGGCAGGAGGCCTATAAGTCTGAGCCCTGCCTGGGCAACTTAGTGGCTTAGCAAGGCTTCATCTCAAAAATAAAAAGAGCTGGGGATGTGGCTCAGTGTGGAGGTCCTGATTTCAGTTTCCAGTACCAAAATAAAAAAAGGAAGTCTCAGTTTGAGTTCAGTAAAACTTGCATAATAGCAAAATTTCCTGCGTTAAGTACTTTTATGGGAAGATAAAGCCATTTCTATACAAGAGTCGACTCAAGTATTAAAAGCTAACACTGAAATTTCTATCAAAGCGTTGCTGATTCGCCTCCCCGTTCTCTCCACTTTGTTGACTGATTCATCTGTTTCTGCTAATAACTCTTATGAACCCTGCTGCCCTAAAAAGTAGTGTGAATGGCAAAAAGGCCTCTACATGGGGACTCTGCTTCCTCCTTCCCAGCTACTTGCTCCTCCTGACTGATAGCTGCTCTCTGGTCCAACATGGCCAGACACTGGGCTGATGTCATCTCTTATGTTCACTCTGTCACAGCATGTGTGCTTTGGTTGACATCTATGTCCTGATTATAGTGACTACCTTATATCATTGAAGTAATATATAAACATGAATTACTGGCATGCAAAGACGAAACAAATTCGTGTAAAGGACATTAACTTTTAGGACAAGGGACCTGTTCATGGGGAAACTGCATTAAAGAAAGGTTTTTTGTGGGATCAAATTAATACTTGAAAATAGGAAGATTATAAAATACCTTAGAGTTAGCAGGTAACTAACAATGTGCCTGGGCTGAAGGTCCTGAGACGATCTATAGAGCACCTCATCGAACCTAAAAGACGACAAGCAGCTGGCTGGGTCTTGTTCACATGTTATAATAAGTTAACATAAGATGTTAAAACACCTTGGATACTGACAACACCAAAAGAGTAGAAGCCGTATGAAAAAGACCTGTGTACATCTGAAAGCAAATGTGTAGTTTTCTTTCTTATAAATCCCTGGATGACAGGAACTTTCTGAATCATCCTGATATCCCATAGACCTAGTTCAGAGCAAAGACTTCAATCACGGTTGTTAAAATGAATGTACAAAGCCTGCAGCCACATAGAGAAACAATCTATGAACCAGTAAAGCATTCTCAAGGCTAAGAGAATCAGGCTAGTTTATTTCCCTTGCAAATCAGCTACCTGTGAGTACATTTTTCTGATGCCCGGGAAGAACCACTGACTACTTGTGTGGCACTCAGAGGAAAGGGCCTTGTTTATAACCATCCACAGCCCTTCGAGACACAATTCTCCTGACAAGGCTGGCTTCACCAACACCTGAGCGAACAAGCGTGTGAGTGCGTCACACAGAAGGCCGCACAGTATCTGAGACCATGAGCTGAAACCGGGGCAAGTGAGGGATGCACTGGGAAGCTGCTCAAAGCAGAGATTTTCCTTCGCATCATAAAAGGTGAGAAGATGCTCTTTCCAAAACCAAAAGTTACGCCTTTCTCAAGCTTTATTTTCCCACACAATGGACTGAGGTATGCTGGACATCTGGTAACTCAATGGTGACAGCATTAGTAAGACCCACACGCTGACTGAGCATTGGCTTAATACGTGCACTTGCATCTGCCCCCATATCGTCAGGAAAGATCTAGATCTAGAGGCAGGAGGAAGCTACTGGCCCACTAACCCCAGTGGCCAACAAAACCAGCCAATAGCGCAGGAAGCAGAGCAGGCTTGGTAATGCCACCGAATTTCCGTACCTGAGAAGGTGCTGGACAATGGAAACGGACTGTGGCTCCTGTAAACACGCAGTGTTGAAGTCATCCAGATAACCACACCCGAAAGTCTCTTCCAAACTGCAGCAGAAGTTTGAAGGTAAAAACCCGAGTTACCCAGAGGCACACAGTTGCCGGTGAGCACTACCTCCTCACACACAGTCTCGGTCTCCTTAACAAGATCTAGGCTTTGATGGCCAGTGAGGACCAGAGTCCTCAATTTCCCCTCAATTTCTTTCCTTATGTATAGAATGCAGGCAAGAGGGTTGGCAGGGTTATTGAGAACTGCGTAAGGCTGTATATATGTACTTCTTACATGGGCTGGATAAACATTTTAAACCCACAACAACAGGAAGTCTGTGCTTTTAGTTTTGAATAGAAGATGTGGAAGAATCCCAGGAAACACGGCCTGCCATTGGTATTAGGGTCACACCAGCTACGTCTCAGACGGACAGAAGGGCAGCAGCACGTGTCCCTGCAGCCCTCCTCACCTGTGGAGGCGGGCGTGCGTGTACTGCAGGAAGACTCCCGTGTCCCCACGGCTCTGGAAAACACGATCCCAGCTGAACTGATAGTCAGATAAGAGCAAACCTCTGAAGTCCTAAAACGAGAGTGAATCTTCAGCCCTGGGATTTATTCTCCTAGCAGACAAAAAACATTTGATAGGAAGAAGTCTGAACACACCTGAATAATGAGTGCTGCAAGCCCGACCCTCTCGGCAGTCTCCTGTGGGTTTGGAAGTTCCTTAGTTGCTGAAACACACAGAGGCAGCTATCTTTTAAATGGCACGACACTGTGCCCAGTCATGGATCAAATCTGAGACAAAAATCTGCCGAAAATATATGCTGACAAGAACAAACAAGTTCACAGTTGGCGCTTTACTAATTT